TTGCACACCTATTTCTGGGGCTTTAGGGCCCCTTCCTGGTGCAGCTGCCTCTGGGCTGGAAGGCTGCTGGGCCTCGCTGGCAGCGTGACAGCGTGGGGCTTGGCTCCCCCCACACAGCCCCTGCCCTTGCTCTGGCAACCAACCCAGCGAATGTGCCGGAGCTCATGGAAAGGACTTGGGGGTGATGTGTGTGAGGGACGGTGGGCTTGCCTGCCTTCCGCAAGACCTGGCAAGGAAATAATAATAATATTAAGAATAACAGTGGTACCATGAGCATAGGCTGTGTGCCCCTGCCACCTCGCAGCTCAGCCGGAGAGGAGGAGAAGGGGCTGCAAGCAAGCCATGGTCTCTGGGCAGCCCCAGGGCCTTTGTGTGCAGTGGAGCAGGCGGGTGCCTCTGCTCAGTGACCTCAAAGTGGCTCTGTGGGTCCCCTGGAGTGCCAGCCCTGGCCGGGGTGTGGGGAGGAAGGAGCCTGGTGCTGGGGCTGGGCACCGGTGCAGCACCTCTGCTGATGCAGCAACACCCACGCCTCAGTGCAACACCCACACCTCAGTACTGAGGGTGCATAAAACAACTTGAAAGGCTTGGAGGAGAGGGAAGGTGGCATGAGCTAGATTTTTGTTTAAATAGAGTCTGCTTGTGGATACGTGCAAGGGTCTGCTGGCACAGTGTCCAGGCACACTGGAGATGTGAGGGACATCTTCAGGGCCACCCGTAGGGTCTTGACCTGTGCCAGGAGGGACTTTCAGCCTGGTGTGGGTGTCCTGGCTGAGCTGTGGCTACTCTGCACTGGCTGCCCCTCAACAGGGTTAGTCAGTGCCTTCCCACCACCGTGTCTGCTCCGGAGAGTTTGGGGGCAGGCTGTGGGGGCACGCCAAAGCCCTGGCAGGCAGCAGCGGTGGGTGCCGGTGGGATGCTGCTGCCTCTGCCTAAAGCCATGCGATGGAAACATGAATGTTGGACAGGACTGGGGGCAAGGTGGGGGATTGTGGGGCGGGCATCCGAGCTGCGTCCACGCAGCGCCTTGCTGGGTCTGGAGCAGGGCTGTGGTGCACAGATGGAAGAGTAATTAAGAATAATAAAAGGAAAGAGACTTGGATTCGCTACAGTCTCAGCACATTAATTGTGCTTTGGGGCCCAAATCATATTGCAGTCCTGCTAGAGGGAATCCAGAAGAGAAACGAAATGTCTTGCTCTGTCCAAAGCTGACCATTTAAGAGGCCCTTGCCTTCATCTGCTGCCAGGTATTACTTCGAGAGTCTCTCATCTGCCAAAACCCAAGTTCTCATTTGAAATATTTTTAGGGGAGGAGGAAAAGCTACAGTGACACATTGAGTGCTAGTGGTGGAGAGGCAGAGGGTGATGCACCGGGGACAGCACGTGGCATCACTTGCTGCCAGAGGTGGAAACATGGGGGTTGTTTGGGCTCTTGGAGGCATCTGTCCCAGTTGGCTGGCCTGCGTCACTTGGCTGGGACTTGGCGTTTCGCTGGTCTTCTGCCTGAGGACCGGGGTGAGTAGTGCCAGCAAGAAGAGGTCCGGCCTGTACTTCGTGCAGGCTGAGCATCTCTTCTGAATTGACGAGCAATTACATGGTTAATGGTATTGATGCTAAATCCTCATCACTCAGCAGCCGAAGGCTTAATGCTTCGTTAAGGCAAAGGCATCTCATAGCTCTCCGGGCTGGGAGCTGCCTTTTCTTTAAGCCCAAGTAGAAGTCATCTGTCCAGAGGCTGCTTTGGCTCTCCGCGTCCTACAGCCAAACCGTTAAGTCCCTCCAAAATGGAAGGGGGGCAAGAAAATGCTCCCATACACTGTGTTGCAGGGACTGGCCAGATCCAGCCTTGCTGATGCGATGGAGCTGCATCGCAACTGCGATGTGTGATTATGGCCATTGTTTGAGACCTGCCATTTCTGATTCCCCTGGGTGTCCCCAGCTCCCTGCCTGTCTTCGTCCGTTGTTTTACAGCTGCCTCGTGCCATCGCTCTGCAGCTACCTCTCCTCAGGCTCAGGGCTGCCTCTCCCTGCAGCCCGCTGTTGTGCCTGGGGATTTAATATTTTCTCCCCTGCGTTACCATGCATGTGTTGGTGCTGAATTTCATCCGCCGTTGAGGATCAGTGGTGCCTCCACCTCTCTGCCAGGAGCACAGCAGGCCATATCACAGACGCTTTGGGCTTCCATCTCTCTGCTTGCCAGGTGCCTTCTGAATCGTGCGTCTCTGCTGGAGTGCTGCCGGATCCTGTGGCCTTCTGCTGGTAGATCTTCCACTGGGAAAGGAAGAAATAGTGCGGGAGGATCAGCTCTCCATCTTTGAGCTTTGCAGTGAAGCATGACGGAGGAGCCTGCAGTGCCGCTGCCGCAGCCTCCTGCCCATGGGCCAGTGGGGACCCCCCAGCTGTAGCCCCCTGCCCACCTCTGGATCTGCTTCTCAGCAACACGTCAGTCTGTCCTACGTGTTTATATAAAATCCTCCAGAAGTTATACTCTCTCTTTTAGCCATTTGGATGGGGTTTTGATGTTTTGAAAGCCTGACTGACTGTGTGGAGTATCTTGCTTTGCTTTGCTTTGGCCCATTTTGGATCTATACAGAGCATGGCAGCGTGTGTCTTTGTTTCAAGAGGATGCACCGGAGACCATCGCCATGGTTTTTTCAAGAGTTTTACCCTTTTAACTGCCCCTTTTTGTATTCCCTCAAGTAGCTGCTTCATTTTTTTCATGCAGTTCCCTTTCAAAGCTACTTTCTCCCCTCATCATTATGATCAGAACAAGAAGAGGCTTCTTGAACAAAGTCCTGTGTGCGGCACCGGAGGAAGGATGCTCAGCTGCGTCCCTGCGGCTCCTGCTGCCATTCCACTATCCTCTTTGGACTTTTAATGTTTTTGTCTTACTCGAGTGCAACGTCTCCATAGTTATTTTGGAGGAACTGCTGTCTCCTGTTACTGCTGTGTGCTCTGCCTTTCCAGGATCTCCTGGTTCCTCACACTCGAGCTATACTTACTCTATAGATCGTTTTGGTATAATTAAGTTATTACCTTATAAGACCTTACAGAGGCTGGTTTTTACAGACTGCTCTGTTTTCCTCTGCTCTGCTGTGTTGCACCATGAATGGGTGAAGGCTGTTTAAGATGGAGCAACCTGTGGCATGGTGCTGGGAAGCTGTAATGCTGTTCATGGAGTTGCTTCAGGGCCATGAGCTGGGACCTATCGGCTTATTTCATCCCGAAACCAGTGCTTCTGGCCTGTGAGAACTGGGCTGCTGTGCCTTCTTCTGGAGTTGGCTACCTGAGATGTTTTCATGGGGAGTTTGAGCTCTGGCCCCTGACTCTGGTTCATGTTTGAAGAGATTGTGCAGGCTACAGGGGGCCGTTTCTCCACTTTCCTAGGGGTTTGCATCAGGATTTGTGCTGATAGTGCTTCTGCCAAAATGCCCACCAGCGAATCCCCAATACTGGATGTATATCTCCATCCAGGGAGCTGCTAGCAGGCAAAATCCTGCCGCAGGAGAGACGATAACTCAGCAAACGGCCCAGTGACTTTCTGATTAGTAAAACATTTGCTGGTGTTTCACACAAAAGCCTTGATTACACAGAGGTGTTTGGCCAGAGCTGATGGACTTTGGGCCTGCATCCCAGTGTGATCCAGGCTCGCTTTCCAGCATAACCCAGCATCAAGTCCTCATCAAGGCACACAAGGATCCTGCTGCGGGAACAGGAGTGCAGAAGGAAAAGACAGACTTTGCTCCGTAACCCAGCCTCTTCCCATCATCTCCTCACTGACACCCAGCAGGGTCTGATGATGGATTCAGTCACCTGCCCTCCCCAAACCTGAGTTTTTGCAGGGTGGAGGCAGGAACTGGGCTGCGCAGGCAACCTGAAACCCTGGGGCTGAGTTTTGGCGTTGAGGCTCGGGGTAGGTGTTGGCTGCACTGTGCTAGCCAAATCCTGCTTTGCTTCATTGCCTTGTCTCTGGAAAATTATCCCTGTAGCTCCGTGATTCTCCATTGCATCGCCTTTCCTGAGCCCCGCTCAGGCAGTATGCCGTCGCCATGCTCCTCCCAGGTTTTGTTGCTTCCCTGGGTGAATAAATCCCTGTGCTTGGATTTGGTGGAGCACCGGGATGATTTGCGTTTGCCATGATGGATGGAGGTGCTGGTAACTGTCTCTGGTCACTGGAGAGAGCCGGCTGCATGCCAAAGCTGCCCTGCACCCAGCACATCACCTGTCTGCTCAGCAGAGCATCCACCAAGGCCCTTTTGGGGTCAGAAGCCATTTTTTTGAGTATGTTTAGCAGAATCTGCCTTTCGGGTACTTAATTCTGTAATCCTCTGGTTTGGAGTTTTTTTCCCATTGTATCCCCCCCTGCCCCGACCTGTCCCCACCATGGCAGAAAGCTGCCTGGTGTGTGGTGGTGGGGTTTCCTGCATGGTGGCAGTGAGAGACGTGCGGCTCCCTGCGCTCCCGCAGGATTGAAAGGCTTGGAAATCTGTGCTGGCTAAAGCAAAAAGTTAATGTGAATTTAACTGACTTCTGCCCTGCAATTAAAGCCACTCAACCCCATTGGGGCTCTGAGTTTACATTCTTTACTGAGGCACAGTGTGTAATTATATATGTATAATTTAAACTGTGCATATGCATGTGTCGCTATTATACACCAAGGAGCAAAGGAAATTATCCAGGAATTAAAGGGGGAGGAGGGTGCAGGCGCAGAGAATGGCTCTCTTGTGTGGATGTGGCAGCGAGGGGAAGCCGGAGGGATCACATCCTCACCCCTGCAAATGTCTTTGGAAGGTGCAGAAAATGAGAACTCCTTGTATTAAAGCCTTGCGGTAGGCTCTGGACTGGTGCATGAAGAAGTGGCCGCAGCTGGGGGCAGAGGGGGTGTCAGGAGTGAGCCCCCGCCTCGGGAGGTGCCGAGCTTCTGCTGGGTCCCTCGTGGTGCCTGGGGACAACGATGCCCTTCCAGCTCCCAGCTGCTTAACGCTCCCTCTCTTTGCTTGCAGCCACTTCCAACGGGACGCTGGATGGCCTAGAGAACCGGGAAGGAGGGGTCTGCCAGACGCGCTCCATGAAGATTGTCATGAAAGTGGGGCAGGGTGAGTCCTTCTGCGCCCTGGGGTCTTCTGTCACCAAAACGCCTTTACCCAGCAAAACGGCCCCTGAACCTGGGCCTGTGTCCTACCATGGTGGGGGTTTCTGCATTCTGGGGAAACTGAGGCCAGGTCAGCTGGTCCCAGAGGCCTCCTGGGTTAGTTTTAGAATTTCATTTTTAGGATCTTTTTTATTCTCTCTTTTTTCTTTTGCCAACACTTGCACGTGTTTGGTGCATTGGGATTAAAATGGAGCAATTGTTTTGTGTTACCTCATGGTTGGTGCCCTGGTGGGAAGCTAGGTCAGTGCGGGAGGTTGGCACAGACAGTACCCCCATGACTTGCCTGACACCCAAGGTGGGGTTTGAGCTGGGCAGGCATTAGCACTTGGGCTCAGCGTGGTCCTGGCAGCTCTCAGTGACGGTGGCCACTGTGCTGTGGGGACAACGCATGCTGGCGGTGGCAGCGGGACACAAAGGACGTTGCTGATGGTGGTGCTCTCAGCCCCAGCAATGCCCTGGGCTCGTTTCGGCCCCCGACTCAGATGCACAGTTCCTGGTGACTGCTTTTCATTATTGTGTTTGCACTTTGGGGCCAATATTTATAATAAACAGAAGAAGCAGTGCTGCAGCCTTGGCAGGCTCCCTTCCCCTTCCTCCTGCTGCCCGTGCAAGAAACTTGCCCCAACCCACACATGGGAGCTCAGAAAACATAAAAGCAAGGGGGGGATTGGGGGGGGGAAGCTACTTCCCGCAAGCCCTGAAGCAGCTCAGCCTTGCTCTGTTGCTTTCGGCATCTGTCATTGCTCGTGTGTATCTGTGTGTCAGCCCTGTGGGGAGTGGCTGGCTGGGATTTTGGGGGTAGTTGCTGGGAAGTGAGCTGCTGCTGTCCAGGATGAATCGAAGTTTCTCATCCATCCCTTCCCTCTCCTCCCCAGATCCGAATGCAGTGGTCCCAGAGCAGCTGACGACGAGTCGGCCGAGCAAAGAGTCAGACAACACCATGAAAATTGTCACACAGAGCCCGCGCAGCAAGGGCCCCGCGGTCGAGGAGCCCGGCAAACCAGGTGGGTTTTGTTGAGGACATCTTGGGAGAGGGATGGGGGCTCTGCCTGTCAGCGGGCTGGAGTTTGGCAGGCAGCTGCTCCTGGCAGAGCAGCTCCGAGCTGGGCTTGGTGCATGGATCCTGGGGATACTGGGTGCTCTGGAGCAAGGATACAGATGGGTTTCCCATAAGCGTTGTGCCCGTCTTTGCCATCCCTGCTGCTCACCCCAGCCCTGCGCTTTCTGGTTGGGGACTGTTCATGGCTCAGGCAGCCAGGCTGTGGTATGGAGCAGCTCGGGTTTGTTTTCCCGGCTCCGGTATGTCCTGGCAGGAGCATTGCCCAGAAGTGCTGTTTCAGCACTCTCCTTCTCCTCCTCCTCCTTGCTGCCCATCTGTTCCTCACAGTACATGAGAGGGCTTGGAGGAGGTGAGGTCCTTGGGTTTTTGAGCTGAACCAGTGTGAAAGCCCTTTGAAGGTGGTTTCCTGAGTTCCTGACCCTGCTGAGAGAAAAGTGAAATCAGATGAAGTAGGGAAGAGTTGCTCTTTCTTCTCACCCGGTACATCTATCCAAGCACTCTCCCCTCAGGGGGCTGGGGCTGCCCCAGCCTGGGGGTCAGGGTCACTAACTGGATATCACAGGGCTCCAGGTATCAGAGCCCACTTTCACCAGAGCATCCAGGTCTGTCGCAGAGAGCGAAGGCTCCCAGGGTCCGGACTGGGCGTCACCCGGACACGAGCAGCTCACTGCTTCATCAGCCAGCAGATGGAAAGGGGGGGTGATGCGGGGTGGGCGAGAGGGCACGTGATCCCTCCTCTGCAGATGCTGAGGGCTCCTGCTATGATGGGGGGCTCATCTACCCCACAGGGCATGATCCATATGTGGATAGAGCATGGAACCAGCTGTGCAGAGCCCCTCGCAGAGGTGGAGTGCAGGCTACCTGCCAGGCTCTGACACCCCTCTCCCCTTGCCTTGCAGGCTCCGTCAACCAGGATGGTCAGGAGACCCAAGGTCCCAGCGACAGCTTCTTGAGCTCCAAGGTGGCCGTCTTTGCGGCGATTGGCGCCGGCTGCGTCATCTTCATCCTCATCATCATCTTTCTTGTCGTCCTCCTGATCAAGATCCGCAAGCGGCACCGGAAGCACACGCAGCAGCGAGCCGCAGCCTTGTCCCTCAGCACCTTGGCCAGCCCAAAATGCAGCGGCAATGCAGGCTCTGAGCCCAGCGACATCATCATCCCCTTACGGACTACAGAGAACAACTACTGCCCGCACTATGAGAAGGTGAGCGGGGACTACGGGCACCCTGTCTACATTGTCCAGGAGATGCCCCCCCAGAGCCCAGCCAACATTTACTACAAGGTGTGAGGAGCAGCTTGGGCAAAGCCACCGATGCAGGAGCACGGGAGCGCTGAGCACGGGGGGCAGCTGCCCCCTGGGTCTCCCCACGGGCGGTCTGGCGCCGGGAGGGAGGAAGCGAAATGAACCCCATGGCATAGCGCGGGGAGCGCCAGGGTCCAGTGCCGGAGAGCAGATGGCTTGCTCGCGCGCTGATTTCTCCCCTTTGTATTTAGTTTTGTAGTTCTCAGCTTTTGTAATCCCGAGACTCGAGGGTGAGCCTTCAGCATCCTCCTCTTCTTCTCCAGACTGCGGCTGGCCCAGGGGGCAGGCGCCGTGCCTTTCCGTGCTTGCTCAGACACCACTGGCAAACCCGGAGACTTCACATCCCCTTTTCGTTTTTGGGATTTCCCTACGTCACCCCTACTACATCCTTGCGTGAAGTGCCCATGCGCCTGGCGCCGCATCGGCCGCCACTTGGATCCCGGAGCCTGGACTGACACCGGGGCCGTGGCAAAGAGCCTCGATCCGAGGAGGAGCGAGCAGCCGCGGGGGGAGGAGGAGGATGCTTTGCCTAGGTGCCAAGATGCAGACAACTGTGCAGGGAGGAAGCTGGCGAACCCGATTTACTACTACTACTATTATTATTATTATAATTATTTTAATTTTTTTGTAACATTTTTATTTTTGTGAATTCCGGGCAGGACTCCGGCCCGCCGCCTGCCTCCTTCGGGCACACGCTGTCGCCTCTTTCCAGCACGCCATCCCGCTGGCCCTGGGGCAGACCCCACTGCTCCCACCACTGCCCTTTTAAACTTTTGTGTTCATAGTTGTTGACTCTTACTTTAGTCTCTTTATAAAAAGAAAGAAAAAAAATTATATCTATACCATGTCTGAAGCATTCAGTGCATGAGAGTCCGGGTGCTGCTTGTGGCCCACGCGGAGCAGCAGCCTTGGCCCAGCAGCTCTCCTCAACCCCCTGCTGCAGAGAAAAGCCTTTGCTGAGGGTTTCCATTGGGCCGGGGCTGAGCCTGCTGGAAGCGAAGCTGGGGGCAGTGGGAGGGCAGGGGGTAGCTGCAGCCTCTGGTCCCGCCCCCAGCCAGCGATGCTGCAGATGGCTGTCCTTGGAAAGGAAAACTGGAAAACAAATGTTCCCGACCTGCGGCTCGTGCCTGGGGGTGCCAGGAGGAGGCCAGTGCTCGGGGCTGGAAGCCCCACAGGAGGCATCCCTCTGGCTGGCTTGCCTTGGTTGAGAGCAGAACCGAAGGCTTCTCTACCCCCGTGGTTTACCAGGGTGACCTGGTGCCCCTCTGCAGGACCTGCCTTTGGGGATCAGCTCCCCCCCAACACCGCCAGCCCCCTGCCCAGCCATGCTCCTGGTGCAGGAACGTCACGCAGCCATGCTCCTGCAGCCCAGGCTCGCTCTGCCCTTGCCTTGCCCATCTCCTGCCCAAAACTGGAAGGCATTGACCTTTGGGCTCTTCTGGTAGCATAGTTCCCAGCTCCCTCTTCCCGGGAGGATCCACTGTAGCTGATGCCGGTAAGCACAGTGGGGCTGGTGGTGCCCTGCCGTCCGCCTGTCCCCAGGTTGTCCCAGCCTGGGGGCCGGCAGCCACCCCCTCCTTCCTTGCTTTCTTTTCCTTTCAGAAGTAGCTGCTTTTGCTCAGGGAGCAAGCGTGGGGCAGGCGGTGCTGCTCCGCCGAGGTGACTTGCCACGCTGCTGGGTGGTGGGTTTGCGGTGACATGAGGCTGCCTGGCTTGGTTTGTCCTTGCCTGTCCCCAGAGCCTCGAAACCCGCCTTAGGAAGTGCCCAAAGAGCGAGAGAGCTGCTCTGCAAAAGTGCCTTGACAAGGAGTGGGCTGGAGGGGCAGAGCAGGGGACGGTGAAACCTGGCGGCTCGGATGCTGCGCTCGGGGTTTGGCTGCGGTCCTGAGCGGGATGGGAGCGTCCCTTGGTGTTGCGTTGTTGGCTTATTTTGGTTTTTTTGGTTTCTTTAAAGGCAGGAGTTTGGGCTGGAGCAGAGCAGGCTGCCCCAGCTCTGCTCCCGCCCTTGGCACCCAGAGGTGAGGATGACTTCCAGGGCCCTAAACTGGCTCCTGCCCTCAGGAGAGAAGAGCTGCAGTGGGTGCCCCCCCCTGCCCAGCCACTCCCCTGGTCCTCTGTGTAGCGCCTTTCAGCCCCTTTTCCTCCATGACATCTGTGCCAGCACTGCCTACCCTGGGCTGCTGAAGGGCCAGGAGCCACCCTGGCTGGGACCCTTTGTTCCCCGCCAGGGTCTGCTCTCAGAAATCACAGAAAATTGTGTCTTAAAAGAAAAATCCCCCTTTTTCCCTCACTGATGCCCTCTTCGATCTGCAAAATCACAACATGCTGTTCCTAAAGTGAGCAGAGCCCCAGTTGGGCAGTGATGATGGTGGTGGCGGTGGTGAAGGATACTTCAGCAATGGGGAGTTTCTGGCATGGAGGAGGCGGTTCGGGGATGGTGTAGTTTCAGTTCATTTTTTTTGGAGAAGGGAAGAAGTCTGGCCACGGGTTGTACCAAAAGCAACTGGGTGGCTTCCCACGGTGGCTTTTCCCTGGTGTGGTGGCTGTCCCTCAGCCGGGCTGCGGCTTGGCCATCCCCATCAGCTCCACTCCTGGTGCTGGGGGCAGCTGAGAAACCTTGTAAATATGTGAAGAAAGGGTGAAATCTGAACTCTTGGTTTTTGCTGAGCACCTCGGTATCCTGGGTCCTGAAATGGAGTGTGTCCCTTCGGTTCTTTTCATTGAAAGCATTGAAGTTTGGTTGGGTTTTTCTTTTTTTTTTTTGCTTTTTTTTTTTTTTTTTCCATTTTGTTTGTGTAAATACTAGTCTTTTTTGGAAGAAATAATGTAAAGATGTTTTGTATAAACTCTGAATTATTTTCTGGTTGCTTTTTCGTAGAAAAACAAATGAGAACTAAAAAAAAAAAAAAAGAAAAAAAAGAAAAAAAAGAAATTTTAACCACAAGAACGGGTGTAAAACATTGTCATATTGCGCTCAGCCCCGGAGCTGCCCTGCGGGGCTGTGCTGGTGTGCGGGTGCTGCTGGGCAGAACGGCTGCGGGGGGCTCGGTCCCCCCCAGAGGGACCGGGGTGGGGTGGGGGCTGTGCCCTCGATATAATGCAGGGTCTGCCAGGCCCCAAGCAGAGCGCGAGGGGCAGGGTCTGACCTGGCTCGTTCTCAGTGAATTTCTGGTGGTCCTGAGTCCGGGCAGAGCTTTTAGCCCCAGCCTGAGCACGGGGTAACACATGGTGAACAAAAGGAGCATCAAATTTATCTCCTTTTTTTATCTTTAACCAAAAAAAACCAACCCAAACCTTGGGATGTGTAACTCAACGCAGCATCCTGAGATCCTGGTCCGCTTTTCCAGACCTGTGGAGCCGCTGCTGTTGCAGATCCCTTTCCCCAACTGTCCCCTTTTTCCACTTGCCAACCTCAAGCCTGCTGTAGCCCATTCTCTGCTTGGTGCCCAGGCCGGGGGTGGCTCAGTCCTCTTCAGCAGCACCTGTGGTTTATGTTCTGAGGGCCCCTGCCCTCTGAAGCCATCTCCAGTGTCACGGGCATGCCTGGCACTTCCCCATGGGCAGCCGGGAGCTCCTTGTGGTCCCAGTTGCCCACTGGAGCTGGGCAGTTGCCTGTAAATCTGCATTATATCGTCAGAGGGTGAGGGGGGGCTGCCCTGGGGAGGGTTTGGAAGTGTCAGAGCAGGGCTAGTTCTCCTTCCCTCCCTCCCAGCTGCGCTGCACACCAGCACCCTCTCACCGTGCACTCCCACATTTCAGAGCTGTGACCATGTCTACATTCCATGGCGTTGCGTCTGCACCCTCGCTGCCATTCCACGTCCCAAGGAGGGGGAAAGTGCCCATGTTCCCCAGGCAGCCCCATGCCGCACAATCAACCAGCCATGGGGCTGCTTCCCTGACCCTGTGTCCAGCTGTCTTTGCCACAGTGCCAGCACTACTGGAGCATCCAGGCTGCCAGATTTTCCCTGTCCATCCTCCTCTGCCACTGAGAGGTGGGTTCGGACTTGGAGCCCAGATGCAGGTGGTCCCGCTGCCAGTGCAGGGCACATGGGACAGGGACTTCGGCCAAGGGCTGGGAATTGCCACCGACGAGCAGCAGGAGCAGTTTGGGCACTGCGCAGCTCGGCGGTGTGGGGGGATGCTGGGGCTTTGGCAGTGGCACACAGGGAGTGAGGACCCTCTGTGCCAGCACCTCCTTGGGGGGTGGCCGGTCCCCAGGCACATCCCAGAGTGGGGCTTGGCAATCCTGCGCTGGTTGATTGTCCTCGGCTCCTGGCGGGGCTTCGGTGGTGCCGGGTGCCGGGGTCCCATCGGCTGTGTCCCCAGTGCCGCAGACTTTTGTTTCTTTGTGTCATGTTCCTGTTTTTGATTCCTTTCGCCTTCCCAGCTCTCCCGCCCAGTAGCATATCATCGGCATCGGTAACCAGCTCTGTGGCATCTGAACTCCATGGAGCCGTGATGGAACCTGATATATTGTTAAATAAAAGGGTTTTTTTCCTATGGAAACCCGTCTGTCTCCTGTGATCTTTTTTGCTGCCCCAGGTTGTCTTTTGAAATCTCAGCCCAGTCTGAAGAGATCTGGAACAACTTAGCTCATGCAGTTCATTGCTGACTGTTCCTGCTGGTATTGGAGGGAGCTGTTGGGTTTGTTTTGGTCAGCATTAAAAATTTGGACATTTTTGTCTTAATATTTGCAGCATCCCACATGGCCCCAGTGACTCAATAGACTTAGGGTTGGATATGGATGGATACAGTTGGACTTGATGATCTTAAAAGGCCTTTTCCAGCCTAAATGATTCTGTGACTCTGTCCCTGCAGCTAGAGACTACCAGCTCCCCCCTGTCCCCCCAGGAGCTCGAGGGGCTGCTCGTGCGCTCAGGAGCAGGCAGAGCCTCGCGGGAGCTGTTTGTGGATGGCTCAGGACAGGGAAGTTCACTCCCTCCAGTGACTGGTACTGATTCAGTCATTCCTCGATGTGCCTTCAT